GAGGCGCCGGGGGATGAGACATCACAAAAGGAAAACAACACCGAACTCTGAGAAATGAGACATCTCGCTGTGTGAATGAGGAGGTCTTGGCTGTGCAAGTTCTTGTGAACAAATACGTACTGTACTTAGAGTGTTTTACTGGTCTTTCTCCTCGTTTTAATAATGCGAAGCATTGTTTCTCTCTAACACGCCACACACAAATTCACAAAGTGCAATCAGGAGAATCTTAATCTATGATGGGTTAGTAATGATGTCTACAGAGAGCTAAAAACTCAATAAGAGCCTCAGCATGTGTGCGTGTGTGTGCATATTTGCATTCAGAGTTTTAGCAAATGCGACCAGGTCTGTCTGCCTGCGTTTTTCTCCATCATTAGCAGCTCTCAGGGGGGCAGTGGCCTGCGGGGTTGTATGGGCTGATGACATAGCACCCCTTGCGCTTATTCCTAATGGCATACTTTCCTCATAACTCATTAAATCCCTCTTCTTCTCTGTAAAGGGAGTGTGAATGTATTTCTGTAACCTAGCCCTTGAAATCTCTATAATCGTTTATTAAGGTCGGCGTAAAGTGGAAGTTGCAATAGTCTTTTCTTCTCTATTGTGACATATATTTGAGTGAAACAGCTTCTCAAACAAGAACAAATGTAGTGTGGGAATTGATTGTGCCCATTAGGAAATGATAGTAGTTCATTTTTCCCTCACACTGAAAAATGCATCATCAGAGAAGAAGTCGCTGAGAGAGGGAGGGGGAGTTATTTTGATTAAAGATATATTTTTAATTCACTAATAAAGAACCAGCTCATAAGACTTTTTTGTGTATCAGACTATACTGGTCATGTTGTGTGGTTTGGTTTATAAAAGTTAGCAATGTCATGATAGCTCTAGTAGTGTTGGCATGGTCATGGAGATTATTTTGGTATGTTTGGTCTTGGCGGAATAGATCCAATACACTGCTGTTATATGGTACTTGCTGATAAAAGATCGCTTCGAACTTCAAATAGTAATTTGTTGGTTGTGCCAAAAAACACGGCTAAAAATTGGCGAGTCAGCCTTCTTTCATTTCGGCCCCAAGCTATGGAACTCTCTTCTTGACAACCTACAAGCAATCGACTCGCCATGCTTCTGAGATCAAGTAATTCATGCTGTTGCTGTTGCACAGTAGAGTATACATGAATTACCCGTAGAAGATCTATACAGGTGGAGCTGGGGAAGGTAGAAGGGTTTCTGAAAGCACACTGCAACTGTTACGGTAAATGCTGATCAAGTATTTGAAGGTTGAGCGCCGAGCTCATTGGATACTGATACAGCAGGAACCAATCAGGTGTGCCCTATAGGAAATTATGTGATTGCAAGCAGACTGAGTAAATAACCTATCAGTCTATCTAGAGTTTTATGAA